TTGTCAAGGAGAAAATTAACAGCTTCAATCATCTCATTACACATCTAGAAAGTATATCTATATAAAAATAAGGAGATGAGGTATGATTGCAAATGAGACAACTATCCACCATTATTCAAATTAAGTGGATGTAAGCGATTAAAGGCAACCGTAAGGCCTTCAACAATGAGAAAACCCCATACCGTATAGTCAGCTATAAAAGGCCCCGACATGAAAATATGAAATAATTCAATTGAGAAAACCAATGGCATAATTTATAAAAAAAAACAATCAACGTAAAATAAATATGACAGACATGAACCAACGACAACCACTGAACTACAGGCTCCTGACTTGGGACAGGCACATATAGAATATTTACCTTAAGCTTCTCATTAGAGAAGAAGGCTTTAAATGAGTTGCAGCAAATATATTTGCAATCAAATTTTTCAATCGACCATTTAATTAAATAGGATAACTTTTGTTTGATAAGATTGTGTGGAAGTGTAGTGTAAAGACTTCAAAAGTCAAAACTGTCAACAGAATCATTAGGACCATCGAAAGGACCATCGAAATCAAATAGTTTATTCTGTAGCTGATAGATGGACGTCGTAATAGGCGTTTCATTGTGCGTGTAACAATTCAAATAAATGCAAATCTTAAGAAAGAAATGAAATTATAAAACAAGGACTAGTAGCAAGCCAAGAATCTATCCAAAAAGATACTAACACATAATTTAAAAACAATAGATGCAGAAGGCTGGAAATATCTTTAATAAAAAATAAGCCACGAAAGTATGATTGTTTTTGCATATTGAAGCCCATTAAATTTCACTCAACTTCGTTGAAACATTACTACATATTAACTATGCGGGGTCATAAGGAAAGTGATAAATATTTGATAACAGAACAATATAAATTAATGAAGATGTGTTATACGTTATGCGACAGATCCCAACGACACAAAAAAAGACAACCAAAGTAATCAAACATATGGTCTTCAACAATATTAGACAGAGTCTATAAAATGCGCCAATCTATAAATCGTCCAAAGTCTTAAAACAAGTGCAGTAAAAACATTTACCACCGACTATCAAAGATCTGTCATTAATACCGAATTTCTGAAATGACATAATTAACCAGCAAACTTCATTGTATGTGATTACGGAAGGCTGGGATAATTTGGTAGCATTTTAGAAGTATGTTGTAATTATGTTTTGAGACGGAAACAGGTATTTTATAGTGTTTTCATGTTTTTTATGTTGATAAAAAAAAAACTAAAATAAGTAAAATTTCATGACAGTTTAACACCGTTCATAAAATGCAAAACAAAAAAAACAGATGAAAAAACCCATACGTATTTTTTTAATAGGAGGAAGGTATCGCACTTCCTCCAGGACCCGGTTGTTTAACTCTTGGTTAAATAGAACCCATGATTAAATCTTTTAACTGAGTGTTGCGTAACTCTGTTGTTCAACTTCTTTTAAACCCTCTATTACGTAATTCTTGATAAATTTGCAGTGAATGATAATTTTTTTCAAAATAAAATAAAAATCATTAATATTTTTCTCTAGTCCTTAAAAATCTGTTTGATCAATGAATATGATTACTTCTTGAAACAATAGAGTTTTCACCATCTAGATTGCAAAGACAACCACTGAATTAAAGGTTCCTGACTTGGGACTGACACATAAAATTAAGGCGTGGTTAAACACGTTTGAGAGCGCTCGACTCTCCCCTAACTTGGGACATTGGTGTTACAGCACAACATAAGATCAAACTCTAAAATTCAGTTGCAAATGGCTGAACTTATTTTAATCGGTACGAAGGAAAAATAAACCAACTAACATAAAAACAATAAACACAAAGCACCGATATCAGAGTACGCATAGTTACTGAAAATTAGTTCAAAGCCAATTATAATTCTAAATATATCATGTTTTCACAGACTAAATTATCAATCAATACACATCCAACTGATTTAGTGTAAGGACGTCATAAATAGTCTTATAAGTACCCGGCCACGTCCACTTGTATTTGTAGTATTTGTATTTTTATCCATCTGATGAGTTTAGCATCTTTCATCTGATTTTTATAGTTCGTTCTTATGTTGTACTGTTGCACCACTGTCCCAGGTTAGGGGGGGGGGGGGGGGGGGGGGGGGGTCCCGCAAACATGTTTAACCCCGCCACATTCTGTATGTATGTGCCTGTCCAAAGTCAGGAGCCTGTAATTCAGTGGTTGTCGTTTGTTTATGTGTTACATATTTGTTTTTCGTTCATTTTTTGTACATAAATTAGGCCGTTAGTTTTCTCGTTTGAATTTTTTACTTTGTCATTTCGGGGCCTTTTTTATCTGACTGTGCGGTATGGGCTTTGCTCATTGTTAAAAGCCGTACGGTGACCTACAGTTGTTAATTTCTGTGTCATTTGGTCTCTTGTGTAGAGTTGTCTCATTGGCAATCATACCACGTCTTCTTTTTTATATTAGAAATCCATGACCATGTGCAATGACAAAAAAAATAAGTAAATAGTATCGACAGGATGAAGGATCATGAGTACTCACAACTGTACGTATATAGCAACATATATTTAGTTATGTTTTAATTTATCAAAAACAAGATAAATGTAAGTACCGATAAAAACGATATTTAAAGATTTCTCAACTATCTTAAATGATAACTTTTAAGAATAACATGAATAAGTAACCCACAGGATCTATGAGTTTACATTGATCGTATATAACTTTACGGGATTTATAAAAAATGAAAACAACACGTTAAGCAGTTTCATGCGTATTTATAAACGATATCAACGTAAATTTTAGGATATGATATCCCATTTTAAATCAGAATTCTACAGGTAGTCAAACTTCCTAACCAAATCTTTGTATCTGTGGAATAATTTAGTAACAGATTTGATTAAATTGTGGTAACGAAATACCTGACTTGATAATTTACCAATTCATTGAAATCTAAAAATCTACAGATACGGGCATATCTAAAATGTTGTGAAATATACACTCCGTAAGAAGAGACAAAATGAACATGATCATCCAAAAGGTAAAAAAAAAACAATAGGGAACCAACATTCGTCTCTTTTTGTCGTAAATTTTTGTGTATGAGTTCGAGTATGAAAATTTAGATATCAAAATCAAGGAAAGGCAATTATTGTTGTCTGTATTAGATATATTTTTCTCTTGAGTAAATTTCCGCAAAAATTGGAAAATTCTCGATTGTTTTAAGCTAAAATATCATACAGGTAACGGTAAGTGTTTTGAGATTTATTAATTATACAGTAATTTAAACGAATCTTTACTAGTTTAGCCATAAACTGTGATTTATAACAATACGGGATCAACTCTGCTATTAAAAGGGCACAATTGATGCCTAAAGGAATGCCTACAACCTGTCAATATATTTTATTGACAAAACGTGCATCGATATTGTCAAGAAAAGATTTACAGCTTTAATCCTCTTATCACAGCTCCATTACATGTAAGTGTATCTAGCATATTTCCCCTTTTCATTAAGAATGAGGCTTCATATGTCTTGCAGCAAAAAAAAATTGCCACCAGATTTTTCAAAGGACCATTTGGTTACATAAGAGAACTTCTGTTTGATACGATTGTGTGGAAGTGTAGTGTACAGAGTCGAAAAGTCATAACTGTTAATGTTTAGTATGAAATGATATGGTTTAATTTCACAATACATCAACGAGTTTATCAAAAAACTGGTCTCTCACATTTTACAATATCACTACAATTGATACCTCGGAACATTTTAGGAATAAATGTCTAAACATCGAAACAGCAATTTAATTTAGTGTCATTGTTTTAAAACCGCTATGCACAATCACATTGAAATGACTGCATACAATATTCACTTCATCAGCCTTTATTCACAAACATGCTAGCACCGACATTCGAACAGCAGAAAATAATAAGCCACATGTTAGGGCATATCAAGAAAATGTCACACGATAGTGAATGGTATCGGTGTCCTAATAGATACCATTCTGGTTTATTGCGGTTCAATTTTTCTGATTTTCAACAATTGTATTTGGTCACAACTTTTTAATTATTTGTTTAGTGTGCTGTTTTTCAAACTGCATTTTGTACATTACTGAGTTTTTCTTACTTTTAACAAAGCAGACCATTATTAAGGGAGATATATATCTTAAATTCAGAGATGCGTTTGTAAACGGCAGTTTCGTCAATGTTTTAAGTCTTGATTAATGATATTTTTATTAGTTGTTATTGGTTTTGAACAAGCTGTCAGTAACTGCGAGTACTCTCAGAACTGTACTTAGTGTCTTTTTTTGTTGTGGGATTTATTAGTACTCTGTCATGTCCGGTCTGTGATTTTGTTGGATTTTTTTCTGCTTCGTATCAATCTGATGAGTTAAGCTCTTTTTAACTGATTTTAATAGTTTGTTCATATGTAGTACTGTTAAAACACTGTCCAAAGTTAGGGGGAGAATTTGGAGCCAACAAATATGTTTAACCCCACACCACATTCAGTATGTGCCTGTCCGAAGTCATGAGCCTGTCATTCAGTGGTTGTCGTTTGTTACTATATATCATATTTGTTTTTCGTTAATTGTTTTGTAAATAAATCAGGCCGTTATTTTTCTCGTTTGAATTGTTTTACATTTGTCATTTTGGGGCCTTTTATAGATGACTATGTGGTATGGGTTTTGTTCATTGTTGAAGGTCGTAACTTTTATGTCATTTGGCCTCTGGTGGAGAGTTTTCTCATTGGCAATCATACCCCATCTTCTTATTTTTATGTTTGTTAGCAGACATACACCAGTCTGTGTCACTTAGAACCTTAAAATGTATTTATGAAAAAAGTTGAAAAAAAACGTGCTAGTGTTTTTTATGGGAATTGTGTTCGTTAACCTTCTTCTACCTCCTAAATAGTGTATCACTAGCGCACTTGGTTTATCATTGCACTGCTGATGTGTTGAATGATTCATAGTTGAACAAATTCCCACAGGACTTGTAACTATTCCAACTTACCATTGATTCGGAGAAGTATCTTAAACAACATGATACAGATACAAATACAACTTAACGATGTCATTGTTGTTGGTACACTCTCCTTCGCCAATCTGAAAATTAAAATATGATTGTTTTCATTGATCAGTCAGGGGCATTACTTGAAAAAGTAAATTTTAAAATTACCTATTTAAGTAATGTTAAAAACGAGGCTATTTTTAATATTATTTAATATATAAGTAACTTTTCTAAATGTTATTTTTATAGGTGTCCAATCATACAGATTTTACTAGCTTTAACAAATTTTCACAGTCATTAGGTTATTTTTCCCATGAAATTAAAAAAAACTAATACTCCGGAAAACACAAATTGCCTTTCTGACGCATTTATCTTTCATATCGACGCTTTTGGGTAAAACATTGGTCACTTTAGATAATTAAAATGTCATTTTCCTTGAAAATCTTGAAAGTAGACAGATATGAATAGATAGAAACTTCTGATTTAATTAAGACTTGAAGTTATTTATAATTTGTAACCCAAAACAATTACATGTCTCCCTTAAATAACTTTAATTACTAATTCTTTCAAAGATGTATAAAATATTTATTCAAGTAATATTTTTGTCAATATTTTTAAAGTAACCTTTTCCTCTTAAATTTAATAAATTCTTGATTTTATGTAATAAAATGATGTGAAAACTACATTTAGTCCATGATTCATTTGAAACTTAAAATAACTCAGTTGAGAAATTTAATCATTTTTAAAAAACAAAAATTACCTATATAAGTACCTAAAAAATAACTTTAAGTAACGGCCCTGACTGTTATTAAGAAATTAACACTGAAAAGACAAAAGCATAAACACTTTTCCATATTTTATATTTTCCCTATCTAGGCTATGCATTTAACTCATATATTTGTAAAAATGTTTAGAAAATAAAGTCTCAAATACATTTTTGATATGTAATGTTCAAGTTCTTCTTATGCTACATAATTTTTTTCCATACAATTTATCAATTGCCACCAGATTTTTCAAAGGACCATTTTTCAAATGGAAAATTCAGATGAAACTTTATTTTCCCACCAAAAATATCTAATTTTTCAGATGTATTTATTTCAACAACAAAAACACAGACCTTTAAATTTCCAAATTTATGTGTACTTTGTATTGTCTTTTAAAACAGACGTTAAGCAACTAACAATCAATCAATCTTTTAAAACAGTCGTCGTTTGTGAATTTCCAAATATTGCATCTACCAAACATCCTGAAGTCCGAGTCCAAGTCAAAAACATTTTACTCACCAATAATATGCAGGTATACAGTCTTTTCTGTTCTACAAAACCCAAACGTTTGACTTTCAAATATATATTAATTTTTCTTACACATGATTGCATCTATAAATTCGATATACGAAAGCTCACTAAGATAACAGTTTTTAGTTATTAATATTGTTGAAGACAGTTGCTTAGTTTTTTGCATTTAAATCTGTTACATTATTCATTATTGTTTTAATGATCTCAATGTCCTATTGACTTTCGAAAAGCAGGTCAGAATGGACTTAAATTGACCGAATACATTCACTAAAACTTAAATGGAGACAGGCATCGGTTTTTATATCTTATATCCCATCGCCCTGAAAAAAATCACGTTCCAAAGGATCTTAATTTAATGGCACAATAAAAAAAAAGTCAAACACCTTTCTAGTTAAGCATGTTACAGATAAAATCAGTATATAGATCTGTGGATGCGTGAACGAAATGTTCTTTATAACACACATAGACATGGTCATCTTGTTACCTCCCTTGTAGTAAATATTTACATCACATGTTACTGACATGACCAGTATGAATGGTCTATTATCAGTGATTTGGCAAACAAGAACATGACAACTTATAATTCAGATTTATAATAATAACATTTCAACCACCGATGTATGAGGACTGGTTGATGTTCATGTGGATACTTTGGCTAAAACGGTTGTGTGTACACCACAAAATTTACTCTGAGTGCAGACAACCCTTTGCAATTGAAAGCATTTTAAGGCATAGCATGCCTTAGATATGTAAGCCTCATGTCTATGTCCAGCCTCAAATCTATGTCCTTTCCACAAATCTATGTCCTTTTAATATTGCGTCATAGACGTTCCAAATTTATGTCCTTTATTGTCTCAAATCTATGTCTTTTATTGTCTCAAATCTATGTCCTATATTGTCTCAAATCTATGTCCTTTATTAACTCAAATCCTTTATCGAAATGTGGTGACGTAAGACATAGCAAGACGTAATCAAGTAAAAAAATATGTGTAGTTTCATTCTTGAAGGCACATTAAAGGGAAAGTCCGCGATTTTTTACTTATCATCTAAATATGTTCATCTTAACATAAAAAACACATTCACAAAGTTTTAAATTTATATTCTTTCTAATAACGGAGAAAATCAAGTATTTGTAACTTTTTTGGTTGACCTACGTCATTGGGTTGTGACGTTTTAACCCGATTTGTTGAATCATGGGAAAAAATAAAATCTGTTAAAGTCTTAATTGCTTATCAGAATTTTACGTAATTAAAAGCGCACAGATGACCGTTGGTCGTAGTTAATAACCACAATATAAGAATGAAAGAAAATGAATATGTGTGTACCGTTTTGTATTGATTGAATAAAACTTCCTATATGAAGTTATCTAAATATAAATATTTTCGAATTAATTTCATAAATTATTGTTGAGATTTTTTCATAAAATATCTGTTGAACACTTTGACTGATATTAAACTGAAAATATTTTACGTTTTATTTACCGTTATAACTTTGGTAACCATTTCAAGGCAAAATATTTGTGAACAGAGTGTGTATATTATTTTGTAAAGTCATTGTTTATTTATCGATTTGAGGAGAATTCGTTTGAACTTTACCTTGCAGCAATTAAGCCTCAGGCGTACACAGGTGTGAATTCAAGCGTACACAGGTGTGAATGTTGTCATTTTGAATGGATTAACAGAAAGAGTATAGCGTGTTTAATACACCAAGCTGAAATACCCGATGACAATAGAGAAACAATAATTAAAATGTATAAATTAATTGAAAATAAACATTCAATTTTTTTAATTCCGGAAGTGTATTTTGAAATGGAACAATTTTCGATTACGCTCTATGCAATTCATACTTGGCATAAAATTAAAATATGAAGTTAAAGAAAATTAATTTAATATTTCCCAATTAATAATTGCACATCTGTTTAATTTACTTTACCGGAATTCTTTAACTTGTATTTAAATCTGGCGATGTTTAAATGCTAACAATCGAAAAACTATCGCAATTTAAAAGTTTTTATTGAAAAAATACAAATAGTACAACATGCATGATTTTTTATCTTCTTTTTAAAATTTCATTCCTACATAATAAATTCAACTAACAATCTCTTAGCATAATTATTTGTGAAAAGAATGCCAATTATCATTTATTTCATTCATTATAAATCTAAGCTATTAAAATAATTGTTTATTCCGTCTGGACATTTTTATTTTCTTTTTTTTTCTTTTGATCTGTTTTTTGTATGAGGTGTTCTAATTGTCTTTAACGGTTTGAACATATGAAAATTAAATACAATCATTTTTATATTATATTATAATTTCGTGTAATACTCTACAGGGTAGCCGTCATTAATCCAAAATAGTAATTGTAGTAATTAATGGCATAGCTAAGTAATGTATTGCTGACAATGACGATTTTAGAACAGTTCGTCTCCTTGAAACAAGCTGTACTAGTATACTTTTCCTGAGGTATAAGCGCCATTGAAGACGAGCTCCAGATGTTCTTTCTAAAGGACAAAGCAGACTAATAGCGTATCGTTCGTTTGTTTGTTGGGTCAGGGGAGGCCAACCACTTGCCCAGATAAACAGAATCACCATACAAGCATAGTTGTCAACACTATCGGAAAAGAGTTCCTATCGTCGGACCATCGTTGTTAACAGCAATATTTGATGAAGCAGATGATGATAGTAGAAAGCAATATGAGCGTATTATTTATCTTGAATCTTGTGTCTGACGAAAACTAAATGCCTGCATGGTTATATCTTGCCATTTTGTATTGGTTTGGTGGGTGTTCACTCAAAATCGTAATTCAAAAATTGTGTTTGTGAGATGTAGATTCACTTCAATAACGAATTTCGAATTCGTCTATATATTTGTGACAAGTGTATACCACGGAGAAGCTCTTTATGTATATTACTCCCATTTGGTTTGGGTGTGAACCATCGATGTTTACAGCAATATTTAATGAATAAGATGATGATGGTAGAAAGAAATATGAGCGTCATGTGGCAAATATTACATAAATGTCTGACTATGAGTTATCTATCTGTATGAAAAGATTTCCAATACAACCATATTGAGTAGGATTTTTACATGCTATACTCGAGTCGTACTAGTATACAGGCTTCTCATGTAGTTAATTTGACTCAGACACACATCTTTTACTTTAAAATGTATGAAAGATTCTATATAAATATATTAAATGTAACAATAATTAAACGCCTACAGGCAATAACTGAACGGGTATGAAGTTTTTATACAGATTTATTCTTATTTACATAATCATTTACAAACTAAATAAATTGAACAAAGAAACACAGTGACACTACGATATAACAAATGGGATACTTAATTATTTTTAACCATGCTATGCAGAAACTTAACACATCAAGTTAGCGCACGTGAATACCAATTTGGAACACGATGTGTGATTTTGTTTAAAAATATCAAAGCGAGCAGTAACTTTGTCTAGCAAATATTTTTTTACTATGCCTCTCTTTATCTCTTTTCCTTTACAATAACTATTACCCTTTTCGTCGATCATTCTCTATGTAGTATAATTTTCTCTAATCGGTTATTTTTTTTTCACTATGCCACTCTATCTCCGTTCCTTTACAGTGTCTGTACCCTGTCGTTCTAATCCGTATAAAGATAGGGACATTAGACATAGAAGGAGCTTTCTTATCGTCAATAAATAAACATTTGATACTGACTATAAGTGCTGCATTACTTTATACTGCATGTTTGCCAATCGTCAAAAGCTTGCATTTGCGTGAAGATTTTTTTTTTCAAAAGAAGGGTCCAGA